CGAAACTAATGACAATGAAAACACAACAATCCAAAACCTATGGGACACAATGAAAGCAGTCCTGAGAGGGAAGTTTATAGCTCTACAGGTCTATCTCAAAAAACAAGAAAAAATGGTAGTAAATCATCTGACTCTACAACTCAAAGAATTAGAAAGAGAGCAACAAGAAAACCCCAGAGTGAGCAGAAGGAAGGAGATAATAAAGAAACATTAATGATGAGAGAGAATCCTTGATAGGCCGTCTCATGCGCACCCCATACCGGGGGATTGAGCCCACAACCTGAGCATGTGCCTTGACTGAGAATTGAACCAAACTGTGACTTCCTGGTTCATAGGTTGATGCTCAACCACTGAACTATTCCATCTAGGCTCAGGTGAGAATTTTTAAAAAGGTATGTTTACAGTTGTTAGCATGCAAAAGTTTATTCTCGTATTATTTGTTATTAATTACTGTACATATTTGTAATACTATTGTCAACCTGCTTTTGCTCAGCCTTGCACATGACATTTTTAAAATATATTTTATTGATTTTTTTACAGAGAGGAAGGGAGAGGGATAGTTAGAAAGATCCATGAGAAAGAAACATCAATCAGCTGCCTCCTGCACTCCCAACTGGGTATGTGCCCGCAAACAAGGTACATACCCTTGACCAGAATCGAACCTGGGACCTTTCAGTCCTCAGGTCAATGCTCTATCCACTGAGCCAAACTGGTTAGGGCCGTGAACATGAAATTTTTATAAAACAGGCAAAATATTATAAAACAGAAGACAAAAGCAAAACAATTAGAATTCCCCCAAAAATTACATGGAAAATAATAGTCAATAGAATGTTTCTTATGGAAACTTCTGACTTAGGTCAGTCAAATCTACAACACAGTCTCCCGAGAACTCAGCAAATGCAGCACAAACTGCAAGGACACCCTTGCCTAGGGAACCAGAGTGTGTTACCATACAAAGCCAGAGGAGGAAGCCCTGGTGGGGTGCTTCATATCTGGAAAAATCCTGCTCACAATGTCAATGGTGGTAACCAGCTTATATAGGCAGGGTGGAAGCCATGCAAAATTGGTTTCAAATGTTCACACTGATGATAACATATCAGAAGAACATGAAAATTTTATTACTCACATGATGAGGTTTTCAGGGGAGAGAAGGGTGGATATTAGAATAGGTCCCAAAATGACTGAGAGCACAGGGAAAGGGGTCTAGCTTGTGGTGTTCATGTCAGTTACTGGGTGCTGTTGTTGGGAGCCTGCTGACACTGATGGAAACTTGCTTGATTGGAACTTCCCCCCTGCCCCCAAGGATAGAGCACCTGGACTTTCTCATTAGCTTTCCCAGGTATAAGGTTAGGGAGGAGAGAAGGGTGAGTCCTTAAAGCTTTCAACATTCAAAAATCAAAACTGGAATCAGGATCTTTATAAGTATTCTTTTCAATAACAAAGGAAGAAACTAAGCACATACAAAATTTCTTCCAAATTGTTCATCACTAGACTCTGATGATACTGATTGTAAGACTTTCTGGGGAAGATGCAATGGAGAAATAAGGCATAAGTTTCTCTGTAAACATGTCAGTAAATGCAAACAAGAATGACCTGTTACTCAAATTATAAAATGAAACCTCTCCCAATTCATAGTCCAGAAAAATGCCAATCTTATGATATCCTAAAAGGCCAAATATACCAGTCCGCTGCTTATATCGCCAGCAGCCATTGCTTGGCAATGGTTTTATGGGAGTATTTCTGGGGAAAGATTCTTTACACACACCAAAGGACCATGCACCTATACCTCTTACTTCTACCTGCCAAAAATGCCTGCCAGCATCAAATCCCTCAGAACTCAGGACAGCTGGGTAAGAAGTGTGTGCCTGGGGATTAGAAAGACCAACTGATGTCCTATAGGTCACACTTTTTCTATCTCTTGAGATAATGAGACTTGGATGGGCAGTTTCAGGATCCAGTGTCAAATCTGCCTGAAACACGTGGATCATTTTATGCAGGCCCACGTAATGTGGGGGGAGAGTGAAAATCTTCTTCTTTAATTCACATGAAAACACTGCTGGGGTCTCTAGCTTTTCATACCTATTGTGGATATCTTCAATACCTGTGAGTAAATCCACATCTGTTTGCAAATACTTCTCTGCTATTTCACTTAAAAACTTGTTTAGTATGAACATATGGTTTGAAACTTGCCTTCCATTTTCAGTTAGTTTTTCTTCAACATCCTTTTCTTCTATAAATAGACCAGCATTAAGTACACTGTGCTCTACTTGTAAGGAACACTTCAGTTCTTTACATTCATACTGCAATTCTTTCCTCCAGTTTTTCATCTTTTCCTGCACTTCAAATTCTTTTGCAATTTGGTTTTCATATTCCATTTCAGCATCTTCAACCTCCACCAACAGGACTCCAATGTATCCTTTGAGCTTCCTCCTGTAACTAGCAGCAGCTTCCTCAATGGGTATCAGGGAGTGATGCTGGTGGTCTAAGGGGACCTTGCAATGAGGACATAACATCTCCTCGGTGCTGTCACAAAAAAATGTTAAAACCTCATTGTGCTTCCCACACAGGGGTTTTTCTTCCTGTAATTTCCTCTGGCTCCCTGTGGTGGGAATCTGCTTAACAATCTCAATCATGTGACATAATTGGGTGTTCCTCTTCAATTTCCTGTCAGGACAGTGGTGGAGGCAGACAGGACAGGGAAAGGTGCCCTGTAGACCTTCCCAGCGCTGGTGGATGCAGGAGGAACAGAAGGTGTGCCCACAGGCAATGGTCACTGGGTCTCTCAGGTAATCCAGGCAGATGGGACAGTTGGCCTCTGCCTGGAGCTCAATCAGGGAGGCCACAGACTCCATTGTGCAATGAACGTATCTGACCCAAGACAGTCTTTTTAATCAGTGTGATCCTCCAGGAGTGAGAAAAATGAGTATGTAACCTTGGCAGATCATACAGACTCCCACCTGGAATTTAAGGGGAGTTCATTAAACATTAGTCTGCTGCCTCCTGCACCCTCTCTGTTCAAATTTCCAGAAGCTGAGGTCTGCTCTCTGTGCAATGCAGTAGGAGAGTCCAAAAAGAGTCCCAGTTTCCAGCTGATGCCCAGACTTCCTGTCACTCTTGCCTCTATTTAATGCCTTTTCCCCCAATTGAAGATTGGCTGTGGAGTCCTTGTGGTCAAAACCCCAGCACAATCTAAGTCATATGTGGTTTCTGTGGACAGAACAATATTGCCATTTAAAGAACAGTTCAATCAGCAATTAATCCTTATATCCCTGTATGAAAAAGTACCTTTGGCTGATTTGGCTCAGTAGCTACAGCATCAGTCTGCAGACTGAAGGGTTCCGGGATCAATTCTGACCCAGGGCACATGCCCAGGTTGCAAGCTCAATATCCTGCCCCTGCCCCACAAGTAGGGGATGTGCAGGAGGCAGACAAGCAATGATACTCTCTCATCATTGATGTTTCCATCTCTCTCTCTCTCTCTCTCCCTTCCTCTCTGAAATCAATAAAAATACATTAAATCAATGAAATATATATAAAAAAAAAGAATATGGTTCCTTAAATGTTAAAAAGAAAAAGTATAGTAAACAAAATTATTTACCAGGACAATATTTAAGGAGGAGTCAGCAGTGAAGACTATCATCCATTTTGCAACTCTAAATGAATTAATTGTTGTAGGGACATTTATCATTGGCCTCAACTAAAAAGAGTAACAAAATACATATCATAGAATTGTTGAGGAGAATACATAACACTATTTGTGAAGAAGTTTTGACAGAAAAATGAATCTAAATCTCCACAGAGTTCAAACCACCTATTTACAGGAAATATAAGAATGGAGAAACCTGTGAAGGATAATCTTGTTAAATTTAGGAGTCAACTTGATTGAGCCACAGGAGATGCAGATAGCAGGCGAAACACTAGTTCTGAGTGTGACTATGAGATTTCTGGGAGAGATTAGTATTTGAATCTGTGGATGAACAAAGCAGGTGACCCTCCCCAATGTCAGTGGGGATCATCCACTCCACTGAGGGCCTGAAGAGACCAAAAACTGGAGAAAGGTTGAATTCACTCTGCTGGATGAATAAGCTAGCACACTCACCTCCTGGCCTGGGTGCTGCTGGTTCTCAGCCCTTCAGACCCACACTGGAATTGGTACAATCTGTTGTCATTCTCTGCTCTTCCAACTGCACCACCTTCTTTCCTGGGTCTCCTGCTGGCAGAATACAGATCATGAGACATCTCAGGCCTCACAACCTTGTGAGGCAATAATCTACACTAATAAAAGAAAAAGATGCTTATTGACCGTACCTTCGCTATGCCCCAGGCGATGCCCACCAGCCAATCAGTGACTATATGCAAATTAACCCAACCAAGATGGCAGCCGGCAGCCACGGAGCTGAAGCAGGAGGCTTGGTTGCCCTGGTGATGGAGGAAGCCAAGCTTCCTGCGTGCCCTGAGCCAGCTGTGGCTTCTGCTCATGGCAACAAAGTTTCAATTATAGAAGACAAATAAATCCCAGATACCTGCTTCCAGCCAGCCTCCACTAGGAGCTTGGGTGGCTGGGGGCTGTGGCCAGCCTGCAAACAGCCATCAGCCCCTCACTCAGGCTGGCCACACTTTCATGGGGTGA